AAAAAAATCCTGTAATGAAATGCAGTTTTGTGGCAAAAAGATACAGCAGGGAGGCCTTACTTTGAAAATACCATTGGTGGCTGGGACAGGAGGATCACAAGTCCAACTCAGCACCTTAGTGAGCCTTGTATCTAAAAAGAAAAGGGCTGAGGGCCAGGGATTTAGCTCAGTGGTGCCGCCGCCTGCCTCTCAAGCGCAAAGACCTGAGTTCAATCCCCTGTACCAAAAAAAAAGAAAAGGGCTGGGCAGGTAGCTCTGGGTGAAGGCCCCAAGTTCAAGCCACAGTGTGGCAAAAAAGAAAAGAAAGTTTTGTTTCTCTGTGGGTTCTGCTTCCACTGATTCAACCAACTATAATCAAAAATGTTTTAGGGCTGGGGATTTAGCTCAGTGGTGCCGGCACCTGCCTTGAAAACACAAGGACCTGAGTTCATTCCCTGGAACAAAAAAAAAAGTTTTAAAAATTGCATCTCTACTGAACATGACTGTACAGACTTTTGTCATTCACCAAACAATACAGTGTAACAACTACATAGTACATATACTGTATTAGGTATTTTGAATAAAGATTAAAGTACATGGTAGGTTGCATGTAAATCACACACAGATACCACACCATTTCGTGTGAGACTCTTATTTCTCAGATTTAACATCCACAGGGACCCTGGAACTGGTCCCACACAAAGGACAACTGCTGGGCCCTAGCACGGTTTTGCTTCCTTGGATCATAAACATTTCTGTACATCATTTTCCTAAGAAGACATTACAATTATTCCAGGCAGTTTTGGGGATCTCTGGAACACAAATTAACACCTACTCTGTGTGTGTGTGTGTGTGTGTGTGTGTGTGTGTGTGTGTGTGTTACTGTGGAGTGCATTCAGGGCATGTATACCGAGCTGCATCTCCAACCACAAATTAACACCTACTCTGTATGTGTGTGTGTGTGTGTGTGTGTGTTACTGTGGAGTGCATTCAGGGCATGTATACCGAGCTGCATCTCCAACCAGCTTTTTATTTTTGGACAAGCCCTCACCAAGTCTCAAGTTGCCCAGGCTGGGATTGAGCTTCCAACCCTTTCACTCCTGGCTAATGCCTACTCTTAAGCGGCCTGGTCAAACTAGGATGGCAATGTGGTCATTGCCTTTATTTCTCATTCTGGTTGCCTATTCAGGTGGGATCTTTTTCTTTTTAAAACAGGCTCACTACATAGTTCAGGCCGGTCTGGAACTATGTAGCCCAGGCTGACCTCAAACTCACAGCGATCCTCCTGCCTCAGCCTCCTGCGTGCTGGGATTACAGGTGTGCGCCACCATACCTGGCTGGATGGGGTTATTTGGGGTAATTCAGATAAGCATTTCTCCCGATGCACCAGTGAACTGTAGGAAAACACTCTTCCTGGCTTAAATTACTTTACTTCTGAGGCTGAGCTTCAAAGACATAGCAGAAAAGGGAGTCCTACTTTCTGTGGAAGTATTCATGCTAGGAAGTGAGCAGCTGAGAATGGAGTGAGCTGAAGTTTGAGTTTCAATAACCTAAAGGATTGAATAAAAGAAAACTGGGTGGCGAGAACAGGAAGCAAAGGAGTTGAGCCTGGTTTCTGAGCCCTGAGCAAACCTTCCAAACTTCAAAGCCTCAGAAATCTTTAAATAGCAACTATGGTGCCTTTAATGGGCAAGCTGGGGTGGGGCCAGATCCTGTTTCAGCGGAGCCAGGACTGGTGTTGCCAACTCGGCTGCCCGGCTGGCTGTGCAGAGCACTGGGGGCAGGGGCTTCGTGCTGAACTGAGAGCCGGGGCAAAGGCAGCTGCCAGAGAGCCTCTTTCCATCCACTGTGCCTGAGATATGGTGGCATGAGCTGCTCCTCCCTAGAAAAATTTAGGCTTAGGAAGGTTAGTGGGGTCGGATTTGAAAATTAGTTGAATGTAAATTTGCTACTTTACCTGAACACAGTGTCTTTTCTCCAAACTTTGGACCTCTTTCGAGGTCTTTCTCCAGATTGACATCTGGTTTCCTTTTTTTTTTTTCCTTGTGGCGGTGGTACTCAGGATTGAGCTTTTCGATTGAGCTACATCCTCTGTGCTTATTTTTTATTTTAAAACAGCATCTTGAGCCTGGCATGGTGGCACACACCTGTAATCCCAGTCCTTGGGAGGCTGAGGCAGAAGGACATTGTGAGTCAAGGCCAGCCTGGACTACATAGTGAGTTCAAGGACAACCTGCTGTATAGTGAGACCCTGTCAAACAAAAAATAAACAAAACCACAGTATCTTATCACTAAATTGCCCAGTCTAGGTTCAGACTTGTGAACCTTCTGCCTCAGCTTCCCAGAGTGCTGGGATTACAGCTGAGCACCACAATGCTTGGCTGCTTCTTCCTTGACAGGTCAGACAGGGCTGGCGTGGGCATACAGGCAAGTGAGTAGAGGCCAGCAGAGGACACAGGCCCTTACTGCCCCTAAATATGCTATCCTAACCTCAGCAAACAGGGTCTGCCCCCAGCACAAGGCTGGACTCTGACAAGAGAACTGGTGGCAGATGATAATGGAGTCATAAGTTAACTAGGGCAGGGTTCTGTGCAGAATCTGAGGGCAAAGATCCAAAGGTCCCCTCCTCTGGCTATAAATCTACCTCAAAAGTTCCTGCCTGGCCCACTTTGTTCACAATGGCAGGAGCCAGAAGAAAGCACAGATGCAAGCTTTGCTTTTGTTTTCCTTGCTGGTCTCATCCCAGGCTGGGTCCCCTACTGCACTACTCTGTGGTACCTGGGCACAGTCCCCATCCAGATCCAGGGGCAGAGCCCTGGCTGAGGCTGCCCAGGACCTCAGGAGTGGTGTGAGAGCAGCAGTTCCGGTCTACGGAGGTTGGGGCAGAACTGCTTGAGCTAGAAGTTTGGGGCCAGCCTGGGCAATGTAGTGAGAACCCAACTCTTAAAAAAAAAGAGCTTGGGCCCAAGATCTAGCTCAGTGGTTCCATTGCCTGCCTTGCAAGCACAAGGATCCAAGTTTGATCCCCAGTACAAAAAAAAAAAAGAAAAAGAAAAAAAAAAACTTGGGCTGGGGATTTAGCACAGTGGTACCGCACAAAGTCCGCACTCAGGAGGCTGAGGCAGAAGGGCTGCTTCTAGGCCAGCCTGGGCTACACAGTGGCTTCAAGGCCAGCCTGAACTACATAGCAAGACTCTGTCTCAAAAACAAAAAACAAAAAGAGGTCAGATGACCTGTCATATAAAGGTACAAGATCCCAATGATGAATGTAACTGCACTGTATACCTAAAATGTACCAATAAATTCAATGATTTTAAAAAAAAAAAGTCAGGCACAGTGGTCTGTAATCCCAGGTACACAGGAGACCAAAACAGTAAGATTGCCAAATTCAAGGCTAGCCTGGACAATTTAGTGAAACCTTGAAACCCTGTTTCAAAATAGTCCCCAATTCGTTTGTGAGCTAAGAGTCTTCTACAGTTCACCTGTGAAAGTTTGTAACTCGAATGTTTCTAAGTTGGGGACTTACTGTAAATTTTATACTTCATCTTAGCCAAAAGGCCAAGAAGTGATTCCAAATAAAAGTTTTTAAAGGGCCAGAGATATAGCTCAGTGTAAAGGCCCTGGGCTCAATCCTCAATTCCACAAAAACAAAACTAAGTACTGCTGGGGCTGTACCTCAGTGGCAGAGTAGTTGCCTAGCGTGTGCTTCAAAGCTCTGGGTTCGATTCCCAATTCCATAAAGCAATAAAAGGCAACAGGAGACTAAGAAGCACAGAGTTGCACAGTGTGGCTTTGGGCAGGTTGCTCAGCATCCCCTGGTCTCAGCATCCCCAAATGCAAAAGCTAAACTCTCCTCCAGACCTGCTGGCCGGTCTTATAAGGCCAGGCCTGCAGACGGGGCAGCTCCCAGGCCTCCCCTCCAGAACCAGAAGCTGCCCATGGACCAAGCACACATACCGCAGGTGTGGGGTGAAGACGTTCCCCACAGCCTCCTCCTGCCTAGAGGTTTCTCTCCAAGCTGCTTTCTTCCCAGGTGGTTACGAGCAAAATGAGGTGACAGACAAGTACTTCATAAACCATCAAGTCCAGTACAAGCAAAGATTTGAAACAACGCCTGCCTTTACTTGTCTCCTGCCATCCTTACACACCCTGATTCAGGAAAAGTACTACAGACCGTGGTATGCAAATTCAACTGCTGCTCAGCTCCCCCATGTTGTAGTTTTATGGGAATTTACATCAAGTTGCCAAACCTTTCATTTTTTAAGAAAAGCAAAAAACCTAGATTTTTGTGTTCAGTATCTGGATGTTAAATGCTTGCTTTTTAAGACAGGCTGGCTTTGAACTCGCTATGTAGTCCAGGCTGGCCTCAAACTTGTGATTACCCTGCCTCAGCCTCCCAAATGCTAGCACTATAAGTAAGCATCACCACATCCAGCTTGATTTTTAAATCTTGACCACTAATTTATAACATTTGAAAATACTGCTTGCATAAAAGTAAATAAAATACTCACAGGGCCAATTCAGGACTGGGCTACCAGTTTTAACTTCTGTAAAGAGACAATGGGTCAAAGCCAGGCACATGGCACATGCCTATAATCCCTGAGCAACATGGTAAGACCACTTCTTAAAATAAATTTTATATTTATTTATTTATTTATTTATTTTGAGGCAAGGTCTGCGTATTGCAGGCTGACCTTGAATTCATGGCAATTCTTCTGCCTCAACCTCCCAAGTGTTGGGATTAAAAATTGTATGCCACCATATCAGGCTCTCAAAATAAATTTTAGAAGGGCTGGGTGGCTGGGCCTGGTGGCACATGCTTGAAATCCCTGCACTCTGAGAAGCTTAGGCAGTAGGCTCACAAGTTCAAGTCCAGCCTAGGCAACTTAACTAAATAGTGAGACTTGTCTCAAAATAAAAATAAAATAAATAGGCTGGGGATGTAGTTCAGTGTGAAGAACCCAAGTTCTCTCTCCAGTACCTCCAAAAAGGGAGGGGTGAAGGGGGGCTGGGGATGTGACCCAGTGGTAACATAACCCAGTGGTTTCTTAGCGAACCTAAGCTCTGGGTTTGATCCCAACACCAAAAGAGGGGAAAAAAAAAATGCAGAGTCAACAAAGTCCTCATCATGGTCTAGTGGCGTTCTCACCGTGGCCCTGCCCCGTAGTAGGGAGCTCTTCTAGTCTAGTCTGGGGCAGCAGGGAGCAAAGTATCAGCAAACAGAGATGGTGAGGGCCTGCGAGGTGCCCCAGTCCCCAGTCCAGCCCTCACCAGACTGCGGCTTTCCCCACAGCTGTCCCAGAGGCAAGCCTAGCCCACCTGGGGGCCTCTTATCACTTCAGAGGTTGTCTCCCACACTCCTGGAAAATCTCTGGGTAGTGCTGGAAGCCCACAGGTGGGTCCAGGTCCCCTGGGCCAGGGGCCAGTGGTATAGGGAGTCCACTGGCACCCCCACCCCTGGGGCCCCCAACTCTTGGGCGATGGACCCACTGGTGCTTGGCCATGGCTGACTTCTGGCCAAAGCACCTGCCACACTGAGGACAGGGATAGGGGCGCTCGCCACTGTGGGTTCTCCTGTGGGCGACCATTTCTGAGCTCTGCCGGAAGCAGCGCCCGCAGTCTGGGCACGGGTAGGGTTTCTCGCCCGTGTGGGTGCGGACGTGGCGCCGCAGGTCTGAGGCGTGGGCGAAGGCACGGCCGCAGTCTACACAGGGGAAGGGGGTCTTGCCGCTGTGTACACGTTGGTGCTGGTGGAGGGCAGAGCTCTGGCTAAAGCAGCGGCCACAGTCAGCACAGCGGTAAGGCTTCTCGCCAGTGTGGACCCGCAGGTGAGTGGTGAGAGCCGAGCGCTGTGTGAAGGCCCGGCCACAATCAGGGCAGCTGTGGGGCCGCTCCCCTCGGTGGATGGCCCGGTGCTTGCTCAGGGAAGAAGCTCGGCCAAAGCCCTTGCCGCAGTCAGGGCACTGGAAAGGCTTCTCGCCTGTATGTGTGTAGAGATGCTCTACCAGTGTGGAGCGCCAGGCAAAACTCTTTCCACACACATAGCAGGCATGACGCTGGTCTGCTCGAAGGACAGCAGGGTGGGCTCGGAGAGGAGGGCGGCCCCGGGGATGCACTTTGGAGGGCCGCTCCATGCCAAGCAGGAGGCCAACAGAGGAGGCCTGGGGGCCCTTCAGCCCAGGAGGCCAAGAGTCCAGAGAAAGTGTCTTCTCCCGTGCTTCAGTCGCTTCCTTTTCTTTTTTCTCATTTCTAGAATCTGTTGGGAGATAAAGGGAGAGCTCAGACTGGTTCATCCAGGTCCTTGAATCCCAAGTTCTGGCATGGTGACACGCAGTCCTCTTGGACACAGCTACCTTCTAGACCCTAGGGTGCCCTTAGAACTTAGTGCAGCACAAGCAGGGAGAGCTTGCAGTGACACCTTTCATCAGCTGGAGAGACAGAAAGGGAGGAAGGAACAGGATATTGGGCCTCAGGGATGCAGAAATGGAATGCAGAAGAGCAAGAGGTGAGGGACACCTGAGCTGCAGCATGAAAGTGAGGCTGGGCATTTTGCAAAGGCTGACAGGACGAACTGAAAGAAGGAAGGAACAGAAGGCAAGAGAAAGTAAACACGGGAGGCGGCAGAGCTTAGTGACCAACTAGAGGTGAGGAGCTCAGAAGGGTACAGATGCAGGCAGACCCGGTAGGGCATAAATAACAATACACCCTCCCTGCAGATGTAATCCAGGAGCCAGGCTTAATGGCCTCCGCCAGGAAAGTAATTTAGGGAACAAACGGCCAAGAAGAGAGGTGGGGTTGGCAGAAGGCAGTCTCCATGGGCCCAATATTCAGTAATTTCACCTTTGTCTGCTTCTGTTGGCCACTTGGGCACCTCTGGATCCTGGGCATCTGAATCCCACAGTTCGGACTCTCGCTCCACCCAGGAGATCAGCGCTGGCTTGGCGCCTCCGCCTCCTCCTAGGGGAAAACAATGCAAACCCCAGGATTCGAGGAGGTTACCCCACAAGGTACCCCCGCCCCCCGCAACGTGCAGGACCCAGAGCAGCCGCGGAGTGTGGGCCAGGCGGGATGCAGGACCTCACCGAGAGCGCTCAGGAGGACGTAAGTGTCTCGCATCACGTCCCGGTACAAGGCCCTCTGCGTAGGCTGCAGACACCCCCACTCCTCCGGGGAGAAGTACACGGCCACATCCGCGAAGGTTATGGCCCAGGGCTCCCAGCACTTGGGCCCTGCCTGGTACCGGGCCCGAGGAGGGAGCGGAGCCAAGGGCGGCCCCATGGTAACCACCAGCGCGGGCAACAGGACACTGGCCTCTCCTAGCGGGTCTGGTCACACGCGGCCACCCAGCCCGGCCCAGGGATCAGAGGGCAGGCATCAGAGCAGCAACAGGGCAGAACCGGCCTCTCGAGAGTCCACTAGAGTAGATAACGACTGATACAAGAAGGTACATAATCAGAATTTAGGAAAAAATGGCGGCAACCCGGCCTCTCGAATTCCCCTCCACGCAGTCTTGCCCATTGTGACGCCAGCCAGGCTTCCCCGGATCGCTTTGACTTCCCGCCCTCGTCCAAAATGGCCGTAGAGGCTACACGTGCCAGTCTAAGACGTCCGCCTCGGCGCACTGGCTGCCGGGAAGAGGCGGGGTTCCTCCGCGAGCGCAAGACGACTAGAGAGAGGGCGGTGCTTAGTGGGCTCCTCTGGACCATTAAAAGTCCAGTTCCGGCCCACTTCTCTCTTGTTCCGTCCTCTGTATCTCAAAAATCGGGCGACAGGAATCATCTTTAGTGTTGAGGTTTTGTTTAAGTGGAATAGGTAAAAGAAAACCTTTACTGTTGGAAGTTTATAGGAGAATGAAATGCGGCAGCAGTGCACTACGTCGTGCAGACGGCGGAGGAGGAGAAGAACTCATTTTCCTACAAGCTTACCTTCCCCGTGGGAGGACAGAGAGAACACTGGAGATTAATTTTTCACCTCTCAGTGCCCACTGCTCGGAAAGGAGCCGGAGCCCCCGGGCCTTGAACGGCGCCGGGCAGGGCTGGAGCTCTGGGGTCGCCCTCCCAGAAGCGGGAGGGCAGAGCGCGCTTCTGGGCCTGGCTGGCAGCGTGGGGCGTGTCGGGTCTAAGGGCGGCTCCCTGGAGTACACTGGGCCGGGTTGAAGGTCTTGGTGAACTGTGAGGTACTTGGGACTGGACTGGGGATGCGGGGTGTCCGCAGACGTTGAGATGCGGTACAAATGGGGTTCAGAGAGGGAAGCTGACCAGGTCATGGCCTGTGAGCCCCAGGGCTCACAATGGTTTCCAAGCAGAGTCCTCTGCTATCCCCTCCAGTGCGTTATTTTTTAATGACTGCTAGGAAGTGGATTCAAAGCTTACTGTCTGTTCCCGAAGGACTGCTCATAGCAGACGACAGTGTCAGTCCTACCAACCGCAGAAGCATCCACCTCCCAACCCCGGAGCCAGCCCAGGCCCCAGGCTCACCAGGCAGGGTGTTACCAGGCCTCAGAACAGGCGCATGTGAGGGCCGGAGCAGTGGCATTGCATCTGCCTGGCATGTGCAAAGTCCTGAGTTCAATCCCCAATACTGAGGGAAAAAAAAGGCACACCTGCTAGAGGGTAGAGAGCCTATAGTCTTGAGGACAGAAAAACCAACTACCTCCATCCTAAACGAGTTCACACACTGTTGCTCACTTAGAGCTCGGGTGATGCATATGGTGTGGCCCCCGTGTATTGATAGAGAAGTGCTGTACAGTAAGACAGGGCCTTGCCTTTTTTTTGTGTTTTTTTTTTTTGTTTTGTTGTGGAAATGTAAATTTGTGCTGCTGGGCTCCTGCACAATGTATCGTAATGGTTTCCCACTCTGAACTGTATGACATTTCAGGAATGTTCTGTTAAACTCTGCCCCTCGCAGGAATATTCTGCATCTCCATCCCTTTGGTTCGGAAATGTTCTGTAACTCCATCCCTGCTTCAATGAGCATGCTCACATCGCATGTTTCAGGAATGTTCTGTAACTCCGCCCCTTTGCTTCAGGAATGCTTTCTAGCTCCACCCCCCACATCAGTGAGCATGCTTGCCTACCTTGTAGATCCCTATATAAGGAGGCTGTCATTCCTGGGAGGGTGCTCAGACTCCCCTAGCCCACCTGGACACCCAGGTATAATAAAGGTTTTTTTCTCCATCCCTTCAACTGACCATCAGATTCTCCAGTCTTCAGATTTCGAGATCTGTGACCCAGAGCCACCATACTGAGCTGTAACACTCAGCCATGCCTCTGAGCGGTGGAACTTAGCTGTGATACTGAGCTGCTCTGCTCTGCTGCAACATTACCACTGTATACCTCAAAGATGACTGAATGAGAAAGAGGTCAAAACCCCAGGATTTATTGGGCATGATAAATTCAGGTCATCAAAAATTAGCAATACCAAGTTGCTGGGTGTAGTGGCTTATGTATGTAATCACAGCACTCGGCAGGCTGAGGCAGGAAGAATGCCGTAAGTTCAAGGCCATTTGGGGGTATGTAGTGAGTTCAAGACCAGCTTGAACTATATAGCAAGACCCTATCTCAAAAATGAATAAAAATAATACTGCAGCAAATCACACACAGATTCTTGCCCACAAAACATCTCTTTCCCAGCTCTGGAACTGAGACAGTGCTCCCACTCTTCATGTCTCACCTTTCTGGCTTTCTCAGACTTCGACTTTCCTGGGGATATGAAGCATCTGGACCCCACAGCTGGGGCTACCTCCACCGAAGAGTTGAGCACTGATTTGGGGACTGGGAATCCTGAGGGGAAACACTCATCAGTAAAGGACGTAAGCCAGGGGCTGGGGATTTAGCTCAATGGTTCCGCCTCCTGCCTTGCAAACACAAGGGCCCAAGTTTGATCCCGGTACCAAAAAAGGGGGGAGATATAACTGACCACCTGTGCACTTATTTAATGGAAATGTACCAGGCACCTCTGTATGCCAAGCATTTAGGTGTTCTGGTATTGCAGGCATTGTTTTGTTTCTTTTTTGAGACAAGGTCTCAATTTGTAGTCTAGGCTGGCCTTGAACTCAGTGACCCTCCCACCTCAGCCTCCTGACTGCTGGGATTGTAGGTGTTTGCCACCATGCCCAACTTGGAGACATTGTTGAACCAAGTATCTAGTCCAAATTTAAATTTCCAGGCCTGTTGGCGCACGCATGTTCTCTCAACACTTTGGTGACTGAGGCAGGAGGATTGCCAAGAGTTCAGGCCAGCCTGACTATATAGTGAATGAGTTCAAGCCCACCCTGGGGAAAATATTTTTTACATTAAACTGGAGATCTACCAGGTAGAATTCCACTGGCATTGGCAAAGGTTTTTGGAAGAACATCTGGGTGGATCGTGCTTAGGGCTATAAAGAGACCAGAGCCACAGTTACAAGGCTTCTAATATGGGGAATAACTCCTCAAATTTCTTGGAGGTAGCCTTTTAGGGCACTGATGGATGAGTTAAATGTCTAAGTATAGCCTAAGTGGAATCACACATCTGGAAATAAAGAATGATTTTTTTAGTTCGAAGGGATGTTTGCATGCCTTGCACCATTAAGACCATTGTGTGCCTGTAATCTCAGCACTCAGGAGGCTGAGAGGGAGGAGGATCGCTGCGAGGTCAAAGCCAGCCTGGGCTACATAGTGAGATCCTGTCTCAAAAAAAAAAAGACTGCTGCCTGCCTTGCAAACACAAGGTCCTGAATTCAGTCCCCATTGCCATGAACAAAAAAAAATGTTTTTGAAAATTGTATCTCAAGGCCATTGTGCGATACACCAGGGAAGCCACTTGAAGGAGTTTGGCTAGGGAAGTTGGGCCTTTCAGCGAGCTCGGCTGGGAAGTGCAGTGAGTGTGGAGGTGGGTCAGGCACTGGGTCCGGCCCACCCCAGCCAGTTCCCTTTTCCAAGATCTGGTTCTTCAGACCACCCCAGGACCGTTCTGGGAAGCGTAGCCCCCTGTACCACAGATATTGCTGCAGGCGCACAGGCACACTGCTTGTGGCCTTTGACCTCTGGCCTGTCTTTCTGGGCCTCCACCTATGGAGTCACAAGTAACTCCGCTCCTCAGAAGCTAGACACTAGGGCGGGAGTTGTGGAGTGTCCTGAGCAGGGAGCAAGGATAGTAATAATAGGCAGACACCGGTAGCCTTGTTAGATGCTTTAATCACGCAACACACTTCTCCTAACTACTGCCCATCAGTTGCTACTCCCTGTACCTGCAGAGGTCTGAGGAGCGCGACTTTCTTCTCCTGTAAGGTGATTCGCAGGTCAGCGTTGGCTGCGGCGAGCGTCCACGTCTCTGGGGGTGCACTCTGTGCTGGTGCCTTCCAATGTCCTGGAGCAGAGTCTTGGCTGTGACCTAGTGAAAGATCACAAATGGCCAGTGGCCACCAAGTCTCTGGGTCACTGAGTGCGACAAGCTGGTCTTCTGTGCTCTTTCCTTTGTACTAAATTCTAGGGCTGTGTGGCACTGATTCAGGCTTATCTATTACACATCAGGCAGGGGTTACAGATGGTCAGGATATCAAAGTCACACATCAGGCGGGAAACAGGTGGTCAAGGGTATTACATTACTTCACACAGGAGGGTCTTTTAAGTGCTTATATCAGGGAGCACCTCCTACACACACACACACACACACACACACACACACTGCACAGGCCCTGCATGGGCTCTCCCCACTTATCAGTCGTATTCAGTCATGGCCTTTGTCACGGCCTCAGCCTCAGTGACAGCTTCAGTGACTGCTGTCATTGGAAAAGGATGTAAATAATATAATGAATTTTGCAATAAATGTTTGCTCTCCACATGGAGGACCCCTCCAAGTCTCGGACACAGGAAGGAGGTTCAGATAGGGCTGCCCTAGGACAGCAAAACACGACAGCAAACTCGGTGGTCCCCAGGCCAGAAAATAAAGGCACCCTCAGAAAAGATGGCGGCACTTTAGCTTCTTTTCATGTTAGAAAGAGATTTGCCAGTTTGAATGTCAAATTTGGTGTTAGTAACCTGGTTTGTTCCCCCTCAAAACAGTAGTCTTTTTTTTTTTTTAACTGTCATCTGTTGCTATTCCTCAAGGGGCCTTGGCAGCGCTTCTTGCCTGTAGTTAAAATGGTGCCAGGGCCAGGGATTTAGCTCAGAGGTTCCACCGCCTGCCTTGCAAGTGCAAGGACCTGAGTTTGATCCCCGGTACCAAAAAAAAAAAGCAGAATAAACGAAATTAAGAAAAAAAAAAGATGGATGCTGCCACTTTGCTATTTGAGCTCAGCTCTGGATTAGGGGAAAACGGACAGATGGACCTTACACCTCCTTCCCGGTTTCTGCCAGAAGACCCACTCAGTGAATGGTGGTTTGAACTGTATTTTTTGAGCCAGGTATGCTGTCGCATGCCTATAATCCAAACACTGAGGCAGGAGGATCACTGCAAGTTTGAGGCCAGCCTGGGCTACATCATGAGTTCAAAGCCTGCTTGAATTACTTAGTGAGACTCTTTCTCCAAAACCCAAACCAAACAAAATGTATTCTTTGCAATCTCATTTTTGCCCTTACATACAGTTCAGGCG